TTAAGTTTCACAATAAAGTTAATGTGACTCAAAACTAGCGATATAAACTGAAACAGTGAATTAAAAGGAAGGATTAAAGCTCGAAACAAACAGGACACAGAAATGAACTAACCAGAAAGATCTGTGACGTGGACGAAGGTGTCATTAAAAGAGGCGAATATATGAGCAACACCAAAAATTAACTCCCCCTCTTTTGCTTGCGGACCAAGAGTGACTACCGGCTGTTCCTCTTTCGCTTTTCCCTTTCTTGGTGGCATCTCTTTCCAGTTTAAATAAACTAAACTGGTAAATCACAGCTGCGTTTATTTCACCTTTAAAAAACATTCATCAAGACGTAAAATAGCAGGATCAATGTTTTGAATAATAAACCTTTTTATGCACTAAAAATTTTGATCAGACGCAATCTAGAATAATCATCACACATCAAAGGCGTTAGTAATCATATTCAAACAATCGACACTTATTCCCCCCAAAGAAAAGTAAAAAACGACCGACTACTATCGAACAACCGTTGCCTACCAAATTACTCATGAAACTTTTTAAATCACGCGACCTATTTTATCCTTTGAAAAAACTGCCAGGAAATCTTTTTCTGGCAAAATTTAATTATAGTTGAAAACCTTAAACAGACCGAATGCACCCTAAAACTCCAAAATTTCCAGCCATGACAAGATATAACATGAATTCTGTGCCTGTAAAATGAACAAAGCTTCGAATTTTGTTTTTTATCACGACACCATCGCGAGTTTGTTAACTGCAGTTCCAAAAATTCCAAAACTTTGTGTCATCTCCAAATTCTGCCTTCCTTATCAACAACACTGCTTCTTAAGAGCTCAGGAACCTTACCTTCTTATTCAAAAGTGCTTTTTTGAAATAACTCCGAATACAGTTCAAAACGAAATTTATTGACTGACAGGCAAATACTTAATATTTAGAAGTTTTAGCTGAAACAACTAAAGGAGGCAACTTACAAGTGAGAGGCCAAAAGCACTGGCCGTAATTATTAAGTAAGCATAAAAGTTATAAAGAACTACTATTCACCTTATGATGCGAAAAGTAATGCATAACGCTTCCTAATTTAAAAAGCATACTCTCTGCAGGTGTGAAAAGACTAGTTTCGAACCAAAACATTCAGAAACTTGGGACCTACGAAGCTATATGGTTACTAGGATTTAGTATCATCAGAAACCTATTGAAAATGCAACAGAAACCACGTGCCAACGTAATGCAGTGACTAAAAAGATCATGCTTCTAAAGACCTAAAGACGCTATAACTGCAACTCCATTTGAAATTCTGCCGAAGATACCGCAACAAAATCTCAAGTGTGAGACTTATACCAGCAAAAATTTTAAGTGAATAATAACAGACGTAGAATAGAAATGAACTTGGTCGCTAATACGTCAAGAATGAAAACAAATAGCAACCTACAAAAGTACCGTGCACTCAGCGATTTCAAACTAATTACAACGGCACACTAAATATTACGCTACGAATTCTACTTTTTACGTGAACTTCGTTTTGCTGTTTCACAGATCAGGAACGAGACCTCCGTCCAAAATAATAATATAAAAGGCTAAAAATTAATTTAAAAAAACGCATGTAAACACTAAGACCAGTGTTCCTCACCAAACCAGAAAAAACAACGGACAGCAGCAATACTTCCAAAATTTAACCTGCATCTCACTCTCAATAACGAAGGTGAAGTATAAGCGGAGAAAAAATGCTTTCCCCAGCAACCATAAACGGATCCAGAAAGTACCTTCAGAACTTCAACTTCCAATGCAGAGATTGGCACAGTGCCAGACAACTAATGATGTTCAAGATTAACTATTTCATATCTAAAATCTGTAGCGACAAGTACCGTAAATGAGGTGCAAACAGCGAACATGAGAACTACAATTTCTCCATGGTTTGAAGCCTGCTTTCCCTTGTCTCTACTGTTCAAGTGAAGCGGTTGCTGCTCCCATGTTTTCTGAAGTACGACTATAAGTTTCTTTCCGAGCAATACGGTTTATAATAATGTCTAAACCCCCTGAATACCTGAACGAATCATTAGTTTGTGGCTGGTAATAGTTCGTTGCTTTTGGGAGTCTGTGTGGTACCCTGTTTTCGATTTCTAAAAGTCAGAAAGCAAAGGCGCTTTTCTGATTTCTGCAGACTTTTTTGGATCACTTTATATCTTTTTAAACTTTGGTACCTTTTGGGGATCAAAATATGCTGAGTGTTTTACGAAACCAGTGGCAGCAACCGTGAGAATGGGCTTAAAAAAGGTTACTGTGAACAGAAAAAAACAGAGCTTAGCCTACGATCTTGGTAACTACAAAGGTTTGCCGCTACTCAAAATGTGCTGTTCGAACAGTTAGTTTATTGAAACCATTCAAAACATAAAATTTATGCTCAAATACCTGTTATTAGTGAACCTAAAGTGAAGCTTGGAAGCTTATATTAATCTTACCACGGATAAGTTGAAACAGGAATCTTGCCATTTGCAGAAGCGCCAAAGTGGTGCATAATCTAAAGGTTTTTTGCATTTTAGCCTCACTAACCACGCTGTCACCCATCGGACCAGAAAAATAATACATTATAATTTTAGCATGTTACAAAAAATTATACCTCCGTAAAATACTTTTTTGAAAAATTTAAAAGTCAATTTTCAGAAAATACGTTTTGATTCTTCATTTTTATCGAAGTTTTTGGTGCAGCTTGATAGCATAAAAATTTTACTGTTTTTCTGAATCCGAGAGACACTTTTTTAAAAGGAGAGAAATTTGTCGCGAACGAACAAAACTGCAAGCTCATAAAAATAATTAAGATTAAAAGAAACTCTGCTTTTTTTGCACTTTAGAGCGGTCTAACTATGCCGTAACCATGCTTTTTGAGCTTATCTTTCTTGATTTTGAAATTGGGTAGCAAATCCTACAGACCAGCGAGGAATGAAAAAATTAGAAGGGTCGACTAAAGAAAGTGTGCCACTTGGCTTGGAATAGCTTTATATGTAAATATAAACATAAATAAATAAATATATAAATACATATATATGTATTTCATATAGGGCTGTTCCACGCCAAACAGAACAAATTTTTTAGTTGGCTTCTCAGATTTTTTTCGGCTTTTTTCAGTTTGCAGGACAGAATTGCGTGTGCAGTCA